AAATCTAACAAGCTTGCTCGGTCGGGTTCACTCGGTTGAGCGCCGGTCGCGCTCCTCGATTTTAGGATGTGACAAACTTAGTATCAGAGCCTAAGGTTTTAAAGTGTCATAGGATGTCTCGGAGCCATGTCTAGTAGAGTCCTTATTATCAGTGTGTTGTCGATCACATCTATAGTTAGGATGCTACATGGGCATTTAGGAATAATACCCTTCTTTCATGTCCTTGATCGTGCGATAAAGCTGGTTGTAAGATTGTTCCTTCTTTAACTCCTGAGTTGCTCTAATTTTCAGTACATGGCACCTAAGAAGAAGACAAGAACTGGCCAAAGAGCCAATGTCACCCCATGAGTGACAGTTGATTCTATAATTGATGATGCGGGTGAGCACCCGAGGAGTGAGAATATTCCTCCAGCTACTACACTGCCTGACTCAACTACAACTGATCAGACCGCACCTGTACCTACACCTACTGAGGGTGCAACGGTCCCTCCAACTGATATACCAGTTCCATCTCCAGTTCCAGCTTCCGATTCTGGTGTTTCTGATGTTGATCTTAAGGGAGCCATACAGATGTTGGCTCAAATAGTGGCTTCCCAGATACAGAGGTCAAATATTGCGCCCACTTCTTCCAGTCAACCAGGGGATTCTACTGGTTCCAGGGTGAACAGGTTTATCCAAGATGTTTTACGTACAACAGGTACGTGCGATAATGATCTTTATGCCACAAAAATAATATTTATATCCTCTGTTATTCTAGCTCTTCCGAATGTGAGTTGTGGTATTTCTTCATTCACTCCAGGGAATAAAAATGTGCTTCAAAAATAACTTTGAATAGCACAGAAAGACACAATTTCATAATATTTTCATGCTTCGGGAGAAAATTTCAATTGTGTTACTTCTTCAGGAGTAAATTAAAATACGAAAAATTAAGTATTCACTCCAAGGAATGGATTAATATTTATAAAAATTCACATCCTTCAGGAAATCGAACATAATTATCTGAACATGCATTAATCACATCAAATTGTGATGCTTCAACCTCTTTTAAAATATTTACTACTTTAGGAGCAAATCGAGACGTGCATGTAATATAGAGAATATTTCTCTAGCTTATCTTTAATTGTAACCATAGAAAGCCTAAATTATCACTTCTGGTTGTCATAGGCATATACCATTTTTAGTGGTTAACAAAATTTAGTTACAATGAGATATACGAAATATAACCACTTCTGGTGGTTGTATATTTCTTGCAAACTCTGTTAGAGTTTAAGTGAATCTAATAATGTTATCCACTTTGTAATCCTTTACTAAGATAATAAAGATGAAAATAAATACCAAAATAGGTATTGTATACGTAACATACAACCAAATAAGCGATGATAAAAATATTAAAATATAAGCAAAAGACTCAAATTAAATTACGCAAATTTGGCCACTCCAGATGTAAGTGATATCTACATCACTACTGTCAAGAAGAAAAACTCACCACCTCAAGGATATAATCTATCTTATGATGCTAGGAATGAACAAGATCTAACCACGGACATAAGAGCGCCGCCTTACATCGGAGATGAACACTGAAATAAAAATTAAATTCGAAGTAAGTGCTCAAAATGGCAGAGTCTCGTGATGAATTATGTTATAAAATAAAGACTGTAAAGTAAATAAATCGAAGACAAGTATAGATGGAGATTGATATTTTTATTCAACTTCAAACCGTTGTCCATAATGAACTGAAAACTCCTCTATCTATATAAGAAAGGAAGCAGCTGCGGAGCTTTTCAGGAAATAACTGCAAGATTTTTGTTTAGCTGCTTGTAAGTTGTCTGCATGAGCTGCTTGCAACCTGCCTGTTTAATAAGAAGCTGTTGCAAATCATTTCATTGAGTTACTTGCAACCTGCCTGCATGAGCTGCTTGTAAGCTGTCTGTATGAGCTGCTTGCAACCTGCATGCATGAGCTGCTTGCAACCTGCATGTTTAATAAGAAGCTGCTGCAAATCATTTCATTGAGTTGCTTGCAACCTGCCTGCATGAGCTGCTTGTAAGCTGTCTGCACGAGCTGCTTGCAACCTGCCTGTTTAATAAGAAGTTGCTGCAAATAATTTTATTGAGTTGCTTGCAACCTGCCTGCAAATAAACTTCATCAGAGTACTAAATGCATAATCTTTTTTAGAAAAATTATCTATAGCGGAGTAATGAATGTACGTCCACAATATAATATTTTCATAACTAAGTTCAATATTTAAGACAAAATTAAAGGAGAAAATGAATTTTGTCCATTATTCTCTCTAAAAAAAAAAACACACACACACACACCTCTGCAGCTAAACTGAAAAGGGCAAAAACGGCGGCGAATAAACAGCCAATGGTAGCAACACGTGGTGCTTCAGCATTGTTTGAACTCGTCGGACGCAGAGCTCTCAGCAGAATATATCGTTCTCTACTTCTCTTTCTTCAAACCGAAACACAACTCTCTCTTTCTTTTATTCATTCACTTCCTTCATTCATATGCAAATGTAAAATCAGCTGTATCGTGAGGGTGTCACTCTGATCACACTACCCATGGCTTCTCGAAGGTTCCTTTCCTCCATGCTCCGCTCATCCATACGTCACTCTTCCTCAAAACCCTCACTCACAGCCCATATCCATCGCCCCTCCCCGGCCGGCCACCTTCTCCACCGCGCCGTCAATTACGCCACCTCTGCCGCCGCAAAGGCGACGCCGGCGCCTCAGAAAAAACCTCCTTCTCCGAAGATTAAGGAAACTGGCGGTAAGATCACCGATGAGTACACCGGTGCCGGTGCCATTGGTAGCGTATGTCAGGTGATCGGAGCTGTTGTGGATGTCCGGTTCGATGAAGGCCTGCCGCCGATTTTGACGGCGTTAGAGGTGTTGGATAATGATATAAGGTTGGTGCTGGAGGTAGCTCAACATTTGGGAGAAAATATGGTTAGGACTATTGCTATGGATGGGACTGAAGGGCTTGTGCGTGGTCAAAGAGTCCTCAATACTGGCTCCCCTATTACTGTAATTTTCTTATCTCGCTTTTAAGCTCTATATATATGTGCAACTTTATCGAAACTTGACATTGTAGTTTATTTACATATCCTATATTACGTTACACGGATCCTTAATCTTCCATGAAGTACCCGTGTCAGATAGAATTGATTTGGGTATGGACTCTGCTTTCTGCGGATATTTCAAAATACACTAAAATTGGTAAAATTTTACACTTACTCATACGGTCATACCATATATTTACATACACCCGTAAAAGAATCCATTTATAAGTTAAGTTACAGTATATTGTCTCTCAATTAATAATTAAATATGTCTTTAATTTTTTGTGATATTTTATCGGTCTGAATTTCTTCTTAAAAGTGTGTGTAGAAAAACACTTTGTTTCACTGCTCATTTGTTTAATTTAAGAATTTGTTTAGGGTCTTTTACCCCTGAATAGGATGTTTGCAAGCTTATATTAGCTCGTTCATACTCCTTCTAATCTTGGTTTTGAAATGTCAGGTGCCTGTTGGCAGGGCTACACTTGGTCGAATTATAAATGTCATTGGAGAGGCCATTGATGAAAGGGGTGATATAAGTAAGAATCTGCCCCTTGGCTAAAATCATGTTTTTCCTGTTAATGGCACTACATACGTAATGTTGCTTTTTCCTATTTCAATTTTTCATCTTGATTGGGACGAGCTCTTTTTTTATTGTCTTTTCTTTTTTCATATTTGCTTTATTGAGATGTTGTGGATCTACAGAAACGGAACATTATCTCCCGATTCACCGTGAAGCTCCATCTTTTGTTGAACAAGCTACCGAGCAACAGATCCTTGTGACTGGAATTAAGGTACGTGATACTACTTTTCTGTATATTAGGAACTGAACACATCTCAGTGTGATAGCTTCAAGGCATCTGTCCTCATTTCTATACTTTTGGTGGAAGCAAAACAGGAGTAGCAAATATTTGATTAGCACATGCAATTTATGAAGTAGTATATAATTTCATGTGTAAATGCTTTTGTAAGACGATATACAAATCATTTGCTGTTGAATGCATAAATCATGTTGTTGTCTATTGTCTCTGGGTATGATTTGACTTGCTTTTGATGACAGGTAGTGGATCTACTTGCTCCTTATCAGAAAGGTGGAAAGATTGGACTTTTTGGTGGTGCAGGTGTTGGAAAGACGGTGCTTATTATGGAGCTTATTAACAACGTTGCCAAGGCCCATGGTTTGTTACTAGTTGAACTAGGAATGAAAGTGAGTCTTCATGTATTCTCGTTCTTTAAGTGAATTTAATTTTATATTCACTTCTCGTCCTCAGGTGGTTTCTCAGTGTTTGCTGGTGTTGGTGAACGTACTCGGGAGGGTAACGATTTGTACAGAGAAATGATTGAGAGTGGTGTTATTAAGCTTGGTGATAAGCAGGTCTCTGTAGATAACATTTGCTTTTCAAAACATAGCGCAGAGATTTCTTGCAATTGGCTGATTTTGCACGTATATTTATCCGCAGGGTGAAAGCAAATGTGCTTTGGTATATGGTCAAATGAATGAACCTCCTGGTGCTCGTGCTCGTGTTGGGCTCACTGGGCTAACAGTTGCTGAACACTTCCGAGATGCTGAAGGGCAAGATGTGCTCCTTTTCATCGATAATATTTTTCGCTTCACTCAAGTGAGCTATCTTTTCAAATATCTTAGTTTGAGTATATTTTACTTTTTAATTGCTTAAACTTTTGTAAAATGATTTCTAATTCTTTCCATCCGTCTCTGGGATTGTTGTAGGCCAACTCTGAGGTGTCTGCTTTGCTTGGTCGTATTCCCTCTGCGGTCGGTTACCAGCCAACTTTAGCTACAGATCTTGGGGGGCTTCAAGAGAGGATTACTACAACTAAGAAGGGGTCTATCACATCAGTCCAAGCTATCTATGTGCCTGCTGATGACTTGACTGATCCAGCCCCTGCTACCACCTTTGCTCACCTTGATGCTACAACCGTGTTATCTCGGCAGGTTAGTTTCTTATATTAGCAATTATGTATCAGAAAAACACTTTTCATGCTATTTTATTAACATCGTCGCTCTTCTCCATTGCAGATTTCTGAGCTTGGTATTTATCCTGCAGTGGATCCCTTAGATTCTACATCCCGTATGCTTTCTCCTCACATCCTAGGTGAAGATCATTACAATACTGCACGAGGTGTACAAAAGGTTCTCCAGAACTACAAGAATCTCCAGGATATTATTGCCATTCTGGGAATGGATGAACTGAGTGAAGATGACAAACTAACTGTTGCCCGTGCTCGTAAAATTCAGAGGTTCTTGAGCCAGCCTTTCCATGTTGCAGAAGTATTTACTGGTGCCCCTGGAAAGTATGTGGATTTGAAAGAGAGCATCCAAAGTTTTCAGGTAATTGAGAGCAACTTTCTTATTGAGTCACTGCTCACATGAAGTACCATTTTGGGAACAATCACGTGTACTTCATTCTTCTGCTGAACTTTAACAATCACCTGCTGTTGTTCTTGTTGAGCAGAAATTTTCATTCTGTACATAATTTTGACCTTCATTTTCATTCTGAGCAGGGTGTCCTGGACGGGAAATATGATGACCTATCAGAGCAATCGTTTTACATGGTTGGGGGTATAGAAGAAGTCATTGCTAAGGCTGAGAAGATTGCGAAGGAGTCAGCTAGTTGATTATTTAGCTGCAGTTTCTGTTTCTCTTTTTTGTTTTGTATTTTCTATTAGGATATATAGCTCATTAAATGGCAGAGAGACTGGAGATTTTAAACGGCTTTATTATTCTTGTGAGTTAGTCTAGACTAAGCATTATTATTCTTCTCTTTCGTCGTAGTTTTCCACCTAAATTGATTGAAACGAGTTACAGGATATCAGGTCATTGCCTGTTTTCCATGAGGCTCTTCAATACCATGGATCTCTTTGTGTTGACCTTTTCTGCCTGCTGAATAATGTTCTTGACTATCCAACTGTTTAGGTTGTGTCCAAAATTTGCAGGAAATTTACTTAATCATCATTTGAACGAATCTTTGGTACTGCTTTGGTGGAAATCAAGACAATATCACAATATGATGGTTTTCCATGTCCTTTTATCACAGTTTCTCCACACATTATATACTCAGTTCAGTCATGAGCATTCTCTGGTGGCAGTGTTTATTTTTCTGTTTTTAATTTCCAGAAGAGTTGGAATTGCCATATAAAAATTTCAATTCTGCAGGGGATTATTTCCCTTGGTTTATACAAACAAGTGCACAATCACAAAGTTCTGCAAATGCCTCTTTCTCGCATAACTGTTTCGAGGCGCATGGTAAGTTCTAAGAATCAAACTAGGTTCCTGGTTTGGATGTATAGGTTTTGCGCTTGAGAAACACAAAGTAGTTGGCGTCTGTTCGGTATCTATTATCGTACAGAACTGGATGTGAACCAACTTTTTCAGCATAACGTTGAAACAATTCCTCAATGATATCTTTCCCAAAGTGTTCCTCAAATAGTCCCTCTGTTACCACTCGTAGAGATAAAACTATAGTCTGGATATCGTGTACAACATGTCTCAAGGGAGTTGGTAGCTTCTCAAACCTTGCGATGTCAAAGCATCCGTGTGCCTTTATCAGTGTTTCCAGTTCCATTTGAGATGTGTAATAGTATGGGAGGTTGAATGAATCCAACTTTTCCTCTGATATGATGCCCTGAAACGGAAGATTCATCATATTTTCGAGTACCCGAGGAGGGGATAGACAAAAACTTAGTATTGGATATAATTTGTTATAGGGATGAATGCATCTCAAGTTAATAGTTTTAGGGTGTGTTCGGTACGAAGGAAAATATTTTCTAATTTTCTCATGTTTGGTTGGTTTAAATATTTTACTCATGAATTTATTTTTTTCCCTATCAAGAGAATGGAAAATATTTTTCTAACACTCTTTTTCAACCTTCCCACCTTATTCCCATCCTCACCAACCCCCATCCANTATAGATAAAGTACTTTTTTTCATTTCAACAAATGAGTATTTTCTTTTCATGATATAAAAAAATATTTTTTTTTCATTTTAACAAAAAAATTACTTTCTTTTCATGATGTAAGATATTTTCCTTCGTTTCAATAAAATGATGTAGTAAAAGTATTTTCTTTCATTTTAACAAAAAAAATATATTTTCTTTTCACTATGTAAAAAAAATATTTTATTTCATTTCAACAAAATGAGTATTTTATTTTTATGTTGTAGAAAGAGCACTTTATTTTTCAACAAAAAAAAAGTATTTTCTTTTTAGTTATGGAGCACAAATTTCAATTGCGTAAAAAAGTAAAGCAACACATTAGTTCCTTTGGGTTTGTGTGAATTTTTAGAAGAATAATTAATTTTTTGAAGAAAATAGAGTCCTGAAAACGTTACGTATTTGGATGGGGGATGGGAGCACATGAAACATAGGGACTTGAGGGAAGAGAGTGAGTAGAGTAGTATAAAAAATTATTTTCCTAAAAAATATTTTCTACTCTCTAACCAAACACTAGAAAAGTTTTTCACTCATCAACCAAACAAGGAAAAATAAGTGATAAAATCACTCATTTTCCATGAAAATATTTTTCTTCATACCAAACACATCCTTAAACTCAGTAGTTCTGTCAAAGAAGAATCTAAGTTTTTTTTTTGGATTGTCGTGGTACACTGGATGAACTTGCGCACACCTTGACTATTTCATTGGTTATTTGTTATCTCCCACCACATGTATCGAATAGCTCTGCCAACCTAGGCTTAGGTAGATGACAAGAAATCAAATACCATTTTTTTTTTATCTCTGTTAGTATTTGAATGCAAATGGTTTTATCGCACTTCACTGACCACTAATAAGGTGCAAGAAGACTTTAAATTACATACATTGATAGTGTAAATTCTTTTATGCTATCAGTAATTTTAATTTGTGGTATCATATTAATTATTATTCATTATTTTAACAGATTATCAATTAATAATTATGTACCTATAATACCTTATAATTGACATGATTGTGCAAATATTTACCCCTTCAATGCATAAAAACTATATAACTCTTCAAAAAAGCTCTTAATATTTATTTTATATTGTACTCCTATATATATATATATACATAAAGTACTTAAGTAGTTTGTTCGAATATTTATTTTTGACTGCTCGTCGATTACTTTTTCACCATGATCATACTTATCGTATCCTGCACATTGCACAAAACTTAAACTATCTTTATTTCATTTTCGAAGTGGGGGAGGAGGATATATTAATTTATTTAATTAGTTGGTTACCATTTTGGCCATATCCTCTAGGCAAGATCCAAGAATGCTGAAATTGAGCCCCATGGAACACTCAGAAGGAAGCACTCCATCAAGAATTCCAAGAGTTATAATCACCATTAATCCTCCTGGAATCAGCTCTTCAGCTCTTGCGTCCAAAAAGGATTCTATATCTTTTCTGAACTGAGTTGAATATGCCGCCTCTACTTCTTTTGCTGCTCCACTGCAACTGTAATGAATTCTTCCCTTGTTCCACGCTCCTGACTTTCTGTCCTTAACTTCCTCGGGAATTCTTGACAGGTATAGAAGTGCCATGGAACTGTGAGCAATATCTAGGAACGCCTTTGGAAATACTCGTCCATGGAATGAACCTAGACAATATCGTAGATAACTAAATACAATACGAAAGGATTTAAGTTATATACACGAACAATGTTAGTGCAAAATTTTCTTACATGATAGTATATCCTATTATAGCATGCTAGTTACGTATCAATATTTTTATCGAGTTACCAATTAACGTTTATCATAAAGATTTATTAATAATATAGATCTTACGAGAAATTTCTGAATTATGTATTATCAGTACTCAAAAGGGCAGCTCGATACACAAAATACACTGCGTTGATGCGTGGTCCCGGCCGGGAAGGGCTACATTCACGTGCTGTGATCATCAGTACTCAGTACGCACAAAATTTTCACTCAATATGAACCAAACATATGGTACATATATTGATAGCAATACATGTTTTCTATTTGTTGGTCCGTCATAAGTTCTCATTCACCACGACCTAGTAGAAACTAGATTATCTGCCGTTTTAAACTCTATTGGCTCGGGTATAGATTTACATTCAAATATGTTATGGCTTTAATTTCACTATTATTCTGCATACAAAACATAACCTAAATAGATCATGAATATATATACCTGGGACTCCTGCGCCGAAGTAGTTAGGTTTGTTGCTATGAATGTAATTGAAGAGAGTGTTGAAATCGTTTTGGACTAAATCATTAAAGAACACAAAGAATTCTGGTACTTGAGGATCTTCTTCATTAGATTCATACTTTTGTTCCACTGCTTCAATGATATTCTGAGCTGCAATATAGGTGTTTCGTCCAGTAGAACACCCAAAATCTGCTATGCGAAATGGGTTACAAGGATCAAAATGAGGGTTTGATCCCACATCAAGCTGCTGTTGAATCAACTCATTCATTACTTTCTTTGAATATCCAAGTAGTTGTTTCTGCAAAAACATGTACACACGATTAATTCGCATGGTTTCTGGTCATGATCATCACAGTCGAATTCAGAGATTATGATTATACACATATTTTTGGTGGAAAAAAAAAAGAAAAAAAATTATATACATATTTTTAAGAATTTTGTCCATAAGTATACATGATTTGAATGAATTCAATTGAACCTGGTATTCAGAATTCTTAGCATAGCTCTTAGGGCCATCACCGCCATTCATCTTGCTAAGTTTTTTTTTTAAAAATAAAAAAAATTAATTTGGTGGAGGATATATATTTGAGCCTTTTGTGGGTCGAAAACTATTGGTTTCAGAAGCTAGAGAGCATCATGCTATATTTATAGCCTATAGGGGATGGAAGTTCATTGAAAACCTATAGAGTCAAGCTAAGTTGCAGTACAACAATTGTCTTTTTGTGAACTTCATAGAATGGGAAATAGATTCCCTTCTTCTCCCATATCATAATTCACCAATCATTATGCTCATACTATCCTCTCTCTTTTTTTTATTATATTTTTTTTATTTGTTACGGCATGAAAAAAGATAAAATGAAACTAAAGAATTAATATGGTGTTTACATGCATAAGAAGGAAATCATCAAATATTACTCCAAATAAAAGTGGAAAGCCGTGAAATTTTGTTGCATGTTCATCTTCGGTAACAATTTGAGGATTCTCAAGAGAACTATACTAATGATTAAGATGTCATAATTCAAACTGTAGTGTTACGAGTTTGAATCTCATTAGTTTGGTCACTACTATCTAATGGACCTAGCTAGTTCGCCCATGTTAACGGTATGCAACCAACAAAAAATATTGTAATAGTACACAATTTTATTACTATAAGAGCTTAATTAATAACTCCTAATTGTTCAAAAAGATATACGAGATAAGTCTCATCCTTATATACTATCATCCTTTTCACCTAATTGGCTGTTGCTGCTTTGATCACTACTAGACAAGCAGACATACCAATACACAATCACAAACTTATTAGTCGGCTATCAAGAGTAACTAGACCGATTTCATCGTCTAATTTAATTCTAAGAACTCATGTTAGCAATTATCAAGAGGGAGTAATTTCAGAAATTGTTGCTAGGGGTGTCATTGGTTCGGTTCGACCGGTTATTTTATAAAATTTGTACTATACTAATTTTTCGGTTATTCTATTATGTATAACCAAAATTAAACTTTTTGAAACCGTCCCAATCATGTCGGTTTCCCTACAGTATCGGTACGGTTCGGTTAATTTTCGGTATTCTTTTAAATGTCATATAAAAATCACTAGTAAAAGTACAATGCAATAACGTACATATATTTATAGAACTTAGCAAACCTCTCTAGATATTTTTACTGTTTAAATGATGATGAATTATGAAAACATGAAAGATGACCATAGTATAGATCCATCAACTACTCTACCACTGCGTAAAAGAAACTACGCAAAGACAAAGAAAAGATAAATCACATAAGTAGAAGAATATTAACCAAGTTG